GCCTGCCTCTTGGTGCTTTTTAGGGTTTAGGGTTTAGGGGTTTAGGGTTTAGGGTTTGAGGGTTTTAGGGTTTTAGGGTTTAGGTTTAGGGTTTAGGGTTTTAGGGTTTAGGGTTTAGGGTTTCAGGGTTTAGGCCTACCCTAAGCCCTAAACTGAGTATGTTTCAATACGATATTTTCGGGCTTCCTGTGTTGTACTGTACCAGAATATGTCCCGAAGCTCTACTCTAATCATGAGGGCCCCTGCACTTCGGCTGACAATGGGTGTATTCCTGACTTCAAAGGCCTTTTTGTTGGCAACTTTAAGGTGTAATATAGGGGCCTAAATATTTACCTATATTCTTTTGGGGGTTCCTGATTCTAAATGCAGTATAATGGGCCCCAAAAACCCTATTTTAACTGTTAAGGCCCCTATATTCGAGTCTGGGGTTTAGCGTTTAGGGGCATGCGTTGGAAGACTTATGGTCTGGTCCTTAAGAACTTTAAGAGCTAGAAGATAGGGGGTTTAGGGTTTAGGGTTTAGGAGGGTAGTTGGGGGGTGTCTAGGTATGGACTTTCGCAAACATTAGTGCAGTTCTCCCCCGATCGTCCCCATGGCCCATATACTCGTACGAAGTGCAGTATCGAGTTTAGGGTTAAGGTCTCTCTCTCTGTCTCTATATATATATATATATATGTATCTATATATATGTATATATCTCATCTGTGAGGTGTTTAGATTTAGGGTACGGTATGATATGGTCTGGGGTTAAGGCCACACTCCATGATGTATAAGGCTTTATGGAGCTGTAGGGCTTCGGGTTCAGGGCAACCTAAACCCTAAACCCTAAATCCTAAGCCCCTAAATCCTAAATCCTAACCCTAAATCCTAAACCCTAAACCCCTAAATCCTAAATCCTAACCCTAAATGCTATAGGCTAGAACCCTGAAGGCCCCATACCGTGGAGCTCTGGTGCCCTGATGTCCTCGGCCCTCAACCCTAAACCCTAAACCCTCAACCTTAAGCTCCAAACCCTCAACCCTAAATTTTAAGCCCTAAACCCTAAACCTTAAGCTCTAAACCCTAAACCCCAAACTCTAAACCCTAAACCTTAAACCCTAAACCCTCAACCCTAAACCCACGGAGCCTTTGGGATTAGGGCAGCAGCCTTCATCATGCCGCTAGGCTTCGGGTTTTCGGATTGGTGGGCCTTCCTGCGCAAAGGCCACGGCGCCTTGGGGTTCAGGGGTCTAGGGGTTAGGGGTTTTAGGGTTTAGGGTTCAGGGGCTTTGGGTTTAGGGTTTATGGAGTTTAGGGTTTAGGGGCTTGGGTTTAGGCTCTAGGGGTTTAGGGTTTGATTAGGGGCTTTGGGCTTGGAGTCAGGTTTTCCACAACTCAGAAGGATTGCACCTAAACCCTAAACCTTAAACCCTAAACCCTAAAACCCTAGATCCTTATTATAAGGACCCCAAGATAAACCCTAAATAGTAGGATCCTTATTATAAAGGACCCCCCAAGTCTCAGGTTCGGTCTCCGAAGCTTTGGGTTTGGGCCAGGCAAGAAAGAAACGATAATACGGATCCCCAAAGTCCCAGGCTCCATGAGTAAGTATCCTTAGCCCTAAACTCTCTAAACCCTAAACCCTATAAACTCTATAAACCCTAAGCCATAAACTCTATAAGCCCTTCACCCTAAACTCTATAAACCCTAAACCCCAAATCCTCTCATCCGCATGCTGCGCATGCACAGCCAAGGACGAGTTTAGTTTCGGAGCCGCGATCACGGCTCTCGAGAAGCCTGGACTGAGCTGATGGCTTAAGGCTTTAGGTCGACACGTTTAGGGTGTAGGGTTTATATAGGGGTTTAGGGTTTAGGGGTTTAGGGTGTAGGGTTTAGGGGTTAGGGTTTAGGGTTTAGGGTTTGTGGTGTAAGTCTGATGGATTTCGGGAGGTTTTGTCAAAGGATTTACTTGGTCTTACATGGGCTTGATAAGTTTCGTGTGGTTTCGCTGGAAGATTTATGGGTCTTCAGAAGTTTCGAGCTAGCAAAGCCTCCAGCTGCGGTGCTTTACAACTTTACTTCCTGGTTGACAGTATGCACCCTAAACCCTAAACCCTAAGCCCTAAACCCTAAACCCTAAACCCTAAAAAAAAAAAACCCTAAACCCTAAACCATACTGGTACTGGCAGCTACATTTCCTGGATACTCTCATCTCGAGGAATCCGTAGCCTTGGCAACGAACTGAACCCCTAATTCCAGAAACCTGGGTTCTAAACCCCTAAACCCAGAAAATCCCTAAACCCCAAACTTAAGCCCCTAAACCCTAACCCCTAAACCCGAAACCCTGAACCCTAAACTTTAACCCCTGAACCCTAAACCCAAAGCCCTAAATCCTAAAAACCCTAAAACCCTAAAAATCCTAAAAACCCTAAAACCCTAAAAGCCCTTAACAAAATCCTAAAACCCCTAAAAACCCCTAAACATTAAGGCCCCTCGGGCTCCATGGGTCCCAGGAAGGCCGGCCGATGGCAGCATGCGCTTGGGACCTGGATGCAGATGAACGCGTACCAGGCGCCGGCCGTGGAGAGTTCAGGGTTTAGGGTTTAGGGTTCAGGGTTTAGGTTTAGGGGGTATATAAAGATACTCTTTCGTAAATAACACCACCAGTCTCATAGTTCGATTGTTGGTCTTCGCGGTTTTTGCCGCATAGCGGAAACCCCTGCAGCCTCAAGGTACAACCCAATCTCATCCACTGCAATGCTGCTCTCAGTGCGTTCCTGGGCATCGGAGGGCATGCTGTCTCAGGTTTTGCGGTCGTCTTTTGCCCCTAAGCCCTCAACCCTTAACCCTAAACTGTCTCCATCCTACGTTCTGGAGATCGGCTTGGGATTGTCGTTCTTAGTGTTTCCTTGGGGTCGGGTTGGGGTTTCAGTTCTTGGTTGAGTCGCTTGGGTTTAGGGTTTAGGGCTTTGTGCTTTAAGGAGCTTTGTCTGTGATATCCCCCAAGGTCAAGATCCACCGGTGTGAACGGCTTGAAACCTAGACACCTGCAGGGTTTGGGGGTACAGGGTATAGGATTTAGGGTATAGGGTTTAGGATTTAGGGTTTAGGGCAGGCAGCAATGTAGCCTGAACGTTTGAACTCTATTCGCATTTTTGCAAAGGCTTGGACCCAGGGGGGGGGGGGGACATGAGCCAGTTTAATGCAGGATCAAAGCGATGTTTTCAAGACCTAGATACCCCACACTCCTATAGTCCTAATATAGGGGCCTGAATAGTTGCCTATGCTATTTAGGGTGCTCTTCCATATTTTTATAGTATAAAGGACCCCGAAGCCCTATTCTAATTATTAAGACCCCTATACTAAACGCTCCAAAGCTGAAACCGACCTCAACCTTCACATTTTCGAGTCCTACCCTCGCCCACCCACGAAACTAGCCGCGAGCACCACATGAACCCAAAACCCCAAAACCCCACGCCATAAACCATGTGCCGAATTATGTGTACATATACACACCTAAATGGTTAAACAACTCAAGAAGCTGAAATAGCGCTTACGACTCACAGTTTATCATAACCATAGTCACAACACCAAGGGTAGCAGTGACCACAGTTCCAACAAGTTTGATAATCACCAAATCCTAAACCCTAAACCCCTAAACCCTACACCCTAAACCCCAAAACCTCTACACCCTAACTAAACCCCTAAACCCTCCACCCTAAACCCCTAAGCCTCTAAACCCCAAAACCCCTAGACCCTAAACCCTAGAACCCCTAAAAACCCCTAAACCCCAAAACCCCTAGACCCTAAACCCTAAACGCCCTAAAACCCCTACACCCTAAACCCTTAAACCCTCAAGCCCCTAAACCCCCAACGCCCTAAAATATCCCAAAAAACCACCCAAAGGCCTAAAAAGAAAACCTAAACCCGAGACTCCCAGGTGCGAGAAGGCCGGGGCTTGGGAGGCCGCTTTCGAGCTTTTGAAGGTCTTGTGGCTCGGCAGAGCTCTTTTTTTTTGAGCAGTTGCTTGCGTTTATTGTTTTTTTTTTTTTTGTTGTTGTTGTTTTGTTTTGTGTTGTTTTTTCTTTCTAAGGTTGTTCTTTCAGTTTTTTAGTGCTTTTTACTATGATCGTGAATAGAAGTCAGTTGGAGGCGGGGGAAGGGGGGGTCGGGGGCAGTGTTGTTTGTTTTAATTGTTTCTGGGCTTTAGGGTTTGGGTGTGGGAGCTGCAGAGTTCGTATGTTTGGGATTCATTGGCTTGGGTGCTCTTGGAATGTAGAGTGTAGAATGTTTGGGGCTGTAGGGTTCAGCTGTTGCGCTGCTTATGAGTTTGGGGTGTTTACGTGATTTTTGTTCTTCCGGGCCTTCAACTCGGAAATTTCCGAGAGTAGGCTTTCGGCTTCGGGTCATGATTTAGGGTTTAAGGCAGTTTAGGGTTTAGGGTCTAGACATTATGAGGTTTCTGCATTCCCGACACCCTTGCGCCGAAAGTAATCCTGAACGGATAGGCGACCTTGCTTGCGTTTGCGGTTCGAATCATTGTTGGAGTCCTACGGTTGATGATGCAAATCCTGCATTATCCAGAATAAGAAATATACCATTATTCCCGTAGTTTAGAGTCCTTAAGGTAATGTAGGATTTCGTCATCAACAGTAACTCAGTTTTCGTCAGCTTTGTCGAGTAAAGGGTTTTGGGTTTAAAGCTCGAGGTCTGCTTTCAGGAATCCTCTTGATGAGGTTCCTATCCTGATTACTATTTCGATTTGCACAGTTTCTGAGTCAATATGTAGATATATATACATATATACCTTATATACATATATATATATATATGTATGTATGTATGTATGTATGTATGTATGTATGTATGTATGCCGATCGGTATGTATATGTGTGTACGTGTGTACATGTTTGAGTGATTTATGTGCTTTAGGTTCTGAATATACCTGCAACACCCTCCTTGTGGCCGTGCTCGAGGGAAAGCAAAACTTCACTTCTCACACTCATCAGATGCCATCTGTACCTGAAGCCTAAACCGTAAACCGACACCCCTAGGAAGACAGATTCAGTGACCTAAGGGCTAGAAACATGTCCCCATAGCCTCAGGCCTGCGAATCTACGTAAGAACCCTGATCCGTCCTGGCTTCTAGGGGGTGTATGGTTTTAAGTTTCAGTAGCATATAGGTATTTAGGTCGTGGAATCATTTTGACTTAAGCCATCTTTGAAGCTCAAAACTGTCTACATGATAGAGAGTCATCACACCGAACCAAGCTTGCGCCTGTCAAGGCCAAGCATCTCCTTGCGTGCAGACGTGATCACCTGCAGTGCTTTAATTAGTGCCTGTGAGAGCTTCGAGCTGTATTTGATCACAGAATTTCGGGTTTAGGGGTTTAGGATTTAGGGGTTTAGGGGTTTTGGCGTTCAGGGTTGATTATAGGGTTTGGGGCCTAGGGTTTAGGGATTTTGATCACAGGATTTGTGGATCTTCACGGCTCTTAGTAATCCGGAAAGCCCCGCAGCAGTTCAGGTCTCTTTCAAAGATGGTGCCCCTATTTAGAACCCCACTTTCATGCACACCCCATGAACCCAGCGAGCCCAATACCCCCTAGTTAAGGAATATACCTTAAATCATAATATTAAGGCCCCTACAATTTAAGGCATATTCCTTAATTAAGGGGTATTGGGTTCTCTGGGAAGCTTTATAGCATCCCCGCAGCCTGAACCCTAAACTCAACCCTATATGGAGACTTGAGAGTGTACGTAGCTATCATCCGCCGCTGACTAAGTGGCATCGGGAGATGAAGCGGTGTGGGCTTTAGTATTTAGGCACCTGTCATTTTGGCTGAGCTTTTTTTTTGACGTCAGTGTTCAAGATTCGGGGTTTGGTGCACAGGTTTTAAATATGTTTTCAGCCCAAGGTATAGGAGCGTATCATTGCGCAGGTAGAAGTAACAAGCCTGCAGATGTGAAGCAGAGCCGTCGGTTTTGTGATCGTCCACAGAGCTGCGTCGTGTCTTGCTACCATCAACTCGGACACCGAGAACTCCCGGAAAACTCATAAAGGTGAGATGAAAGAAGGTGGAAGTAGCGATTTTTTTTACATAAGCACCCTTCTGTAAGTGATTCGCACACCTACCGTGATCTCGCCTTTTGGGCCAGTTGGCTAAGGAAGGGGGGCTGCTGGGAGCAGTCGCTAGAGCTCTTGACGCGGATGGGAAGAGAGCAGCTCGAGGCTGATGTGCCTAGGCACCAGATTTTCGAGGGGTTTGGTGTTTAGGGCTTAGGGTTTAGGGTTCTAGGCACCAGATTTTCAAAAAGTTTGGATGTCTGCTGTCGGATCTATTGGTTGTAGGCTTGGGCTGGTTTAGAGAGGCTCAAATGAGCCTTGATGACAGCGAACAGTTGAGCTTTTGTGGATTTTCGTTAATACCGCAGCCCAGGCCCGAGTCGTTCCAGAACGTTTTCTGCGCTTGCTGTTGATGTGTGGTCCATTGTTGTTCATCCGGGCTGACAGCCTCCCCGCGTGGCACATCTATGTTGTGGAAATTGCTGTCTGTTCGCATGGAGGCTGGGATTGCGGAAATACCAGCTTACCATGTTATGACGCGAAGTCACATCCGAAGCGTCCGGGTGCATGACATCAAGGGCCGGTTTGGTTTGGAGATGTTGGACTATGGACGTCACGTCCTTAGGTTCAGATTCCCTTCTGCCGCACCGGTACATGGCAAAACTCATGGGGGAAGCTTGAGCTCCGCCCTGAGCCCTTAATCCGAAACCCTGTAAACCGTTTATCGATATCCTGCCCCCCAGCAGCAAGCTAAAGCCCATGGTCCCCATGCACCCTCAACGTCCCGCAACCCCAGAAGCCCTAGACCCTAAGCACGAAACCAAGCTTCCAGATGGTAGAAACAGAAGGCCCCCTGCCTTCTCCTAGTACGTTTGATGATATAAATCCTGCATTACCCATAATAAGGAACATGCCATAATTCCCAGAGTTTAGAGTCCTTAAGGTAATGCAGGGTTTATATCATGAACAGTATGTGTAGACTTTAGACCCCAAAGTAGGTAGTAATTTGTATATTTGGTGTCTTAGGGTAGGTAAGCGAAAGCGTTTTTTTGTAAGAGAAATGTGGATTGCGCCAAATCGATTTGAGCACCGATCGGACTGTGCATCGCTGCAACAACCGCGAGCCATCCGTGGATAGGTTACTTCAAATTCTTGAAACATGTTACTTTCATACATCCCTCTTGTAGATGTCATTTTGCAAGAGGCACAGAAGTGCCTGTAAAGAGATCGCAGCTCAAAGAACCCCCATCTAGGATTAGCCCGAGGTTATTTGCTTCAACGGCGCCATCAGTGCCTGTGAGAAGTGCGGGCAGTGGGAGTAGCCTGGTCGCGGCTTTGGTACAGTTGAAACGTTTGCCACCAACCCTAAAGCAGAAGCCCTAAACTAAACAGTAAAACCTAAAACCCTAAACCCTTAAACCTGCACTGAAAAGGCAAGCACTTCGAATCCTTGGGTCTTTGCCCGACTATGGACTGCACCCGACGAAGAACAGCTTCAATGCCGCGATCCGCGCTTGCGGGCGCCCTTTCCGAATTGAGCTTAAATGATCTGTTTTCCAACGGCTTGGGTTGGGGTTTATGTGTGTGTTGGGCTGGCTCTTGGGCTCGTATGAGGTTGGCGAATCAATGAAAAGGGCGTGTGGCTTGGATGAGGCTCAATATACAAGGCTTCCCTTTAACGTCTGAGGATTCCTGCGGTACTGTGCAGCAAAGGGCTCCAACAGAATTGACAGCAAAACCCGCCACGTCCGAACCAAACGGATCATTTTGTCGAACCAGCTAAAACACGCTATAAATGGTTTCCAGGTTGCCCACAGTGCACGACAAGCTTTCAGAGCTCCAGCCTTTCCTAGCTGTGGGGTTGATCACTTAACATCTCTGCCACGACTGAGATCTCAGGGTCCTTCAACCCTATTTAAACCCTAGAGAACCTGAATCTGGAGTCGATTGAGGTGGGACGGTCAGTGGCAGAATGCCTTGCTCTTGCTTGGGGACATGGAGGACAAGGTACTGACTCTCGGCTGAGACTTTAGGGCTTAGAGTTTTTCCTTCGGCCGTCCTTCCGATTGCACAAGGCCACGAGCAACAGCCTGATTAAGAGCAGCAGCAAACAAGATACCACGAAGGCTCAGGAGAACACGCGAGTGAAGAGTTGGGAAAAAGGAAGGTAGAGCCGGTAGAGCAGACTTGCTGCAGCAGCGGCAGCGTCGGTTCTTGTATTCGTATGCCTTCATGAAGATAAGTTCCAGTTTCAACAGGTAGCAGAGAGAAGGCAAATGTTGAGTGGCCACCGTGAGATACAACTCTTAAAAGTGTCCCCAGATCTTCCCTGTCTGACTTACACTATGACCAGACGTAAAGCATGAACACTGTCTTTTGGCAGGAGAGTTGCCGCTCTTCAAAATCATGAGCGGTGTTACGGTTGATGATAGAAATCCTGCATGACCCATAATGAGGAATATACCATAATTCCCCCTAGCTTAGGGTCCTTGAGGTAATGCCGGATTTATATCATCAACAGTTTCAATCAACAACGGCCTTCCCGCCCCACCCAAGATGCCTTACAAACCCTAAAGCCTAAACCCAAAACCCCAAAACCCCTACCCAGGACGCCGGACATTATCACGTATTGCGCTGCGATCTGCAGCTGCGCAGCTCGGCTGTTCCAGGGTGTTTTGTCTCATTGGCCGAGGGCGGGCGCAAGGTTGCCACGCGGGTTTTGAAGGTTGACAGTCGTGTCAAGACCCTCAATTCAGGGTTCCAGGGTTCCAGGGTTTATAGGGTTTAGGGTTTATAGGGTTTAGGGTTTCGGCTCAATCCGTCGGGATCTGGTCTGTGCTCGACTCCGAGTTGCCAGAGATTCGTCGTTGTGGGGTTTCCCTGGCGTGCCCAAGCCCAGCTTCCAGGTCGCGAACTACGACTTAAAAAAGAGGGGAAGCTAGCCCAAGCATGTCATCTCTATCCTATGCACCCTGAGGGTCCATGTAGCTCTATGGTGGATATGCCAAGTAGTGTTAGGAACCCTTTGTCGTCAAAGTGAAAGCGTGCTGACAGCTCTAAAGTAGACGCCTCAATAATGTCGATGAAGCCTTGAAGTATAATTATTGTAGTAGAATTAGACATGAATCATATAGAGATACTACGACTAATTGTTCAGACCTTGGCACCCCTTTCTCGAATCCTAGCCCCTAAGCCCTATATAGTAAACAAAGAGTCCAACAAGTCATTCAAGGACCGGGAAGAGGCCTGGGAGATGGCGATGCTGTTGCTCAGCCAAGCACAGGCTGGGCTCCAGGGTTTAGGGCAATACAGGGGCTTGAATCAATGCTAAAGAATTTCCTCACGATTCCCTACATTTTGACTCCAATAATAACACCATACACCAGAGCTTCTTAAAGGCCCCAAAAGAGGGGAATAAAGGGTAGGTGCATACGGTTTCTGCTGGTTGCACTTTCGGAGCTTGAGGGTATTAAGGTGTTGGGGATTCAGGGCTTTTGAGGCTTTGAGGATGCTGGAACTTGCGATTTCAGAGGTTTAGTCCTTGTTTCGGGGGTAAATATAAGGTTTAATGAGCTTGAGGGTTGCGCGGTGTAAGGTTACGCCGGCTACCGCTTATTCTAAGGGTTTATAGGATCCTGAGCTTAGGGCTTTAGGGCCGTGAAGAGAGTTTTAGGGGTTTAGGGATTTAGGGTTTAGGGTCTAAGAGAGCTACAATGGTGTGGGGTGAAGGGTTCTTTGAGGTTTTGTGGCCAGCCCTCGACCAGGTCTTGGTCTTGGTCTGATTGCACTGTTGAAGGTTCATGGGACGTACAAGTAGGGTTGTAAAGAAGAGCAGCCCAAACCCCAAACCCGAAAATTCACCTTGGACCCCAACTCTACAGCGAAAAAATCCGTACTTGTCACTAGCGAGTGACCGTCCTGGGGTTTGGGGTTTAGGGTCTAACGCATCCGAATTTTATGTCGAGTGTCCCCTCAAAGAAGGCTGAGCTGCCCGTGGCCTGAAGCTCTACACAGGTGTTGAAGGGTTTCGGGAATTGCAAACCTCGACACCACCGGAAGCTCATGTGCCACCCTATAATATAGAAGTCTGAACAGTTCGAAATGCTATTCCGGTTGTTCAGTTCAATTATCGCATGATGTACCCCAAAGTCCTGCGGCTGCAGTGGGCTCTAGTATTCCTGAAACATCTGTCGCCCAAACGACTGAAAACCTAACGGAGAAAGCCTGCGAAGTCGCCAACCATGCCATAATCCCCAACCTTGAGCAAACAGCCTCACTTCTCAAAGTCCCATACCCTATAGATCTTGCCCTAAACCCTAAACTGTAAACCCTAAACAGTAAACCCCAATCCCTAATAACCTCAACTCCAGAACCTAAGCCAAAAAAACAAACCCCTATACCCTATAATGTACAACAAAAAACCTATACCCTATATACCATATACACTAAGCCCCCTATATATACCTCGATCTTGCCCGAAACCGCAGCCTCTTCGAAACCTGCCCAAAGACTCCAATATCCCTTAATCAAGGAATATACCTTAAATTATAGTAGGATCCCTATAATATGATTTAAGGTATATTCCTGAATTAAGGAATATACCATAAATTATAGTAGGACCCCTAATAAGATTTAGGGTGTATTCCTTAGTTAAGGAATATTGGAGTCCTTGGACTTCCCCAGCCGCACACCCCAAGCTTCAAACCCCCGGTCGCTGCATCTTAAACCCTGAACCCCTAAACTCCTAGACCCCTAAACCCTGAACCCCTAAACCCTGAACCCTAAACCCTAAACCCTACTGGGGTCCCTGGGTGCAGTACCGGCATCTTCGTCTCGACGACGTGGCCGTAGATGCTGCCCTGCATGCGGCGGCAGAAGTGGCGCAATGGTGCCTTAGGGATTTTGGGTTTAGGGGTCTAGGAGTTTAGGAAGTTTAGGGGTTTGGGGGTTCAGGGTTTAGGGGGTTGGGGTTTTGGTTTCAGGGTTAACTTACCGTCATGAGATGCAGGGACCGGAGATTTGAAGCTTGGGGTGTGGGGCTGGGGAAGGCCAGGGACTCCAATACTCCTTAATTAAGGAATGTACCTCAAATCATATTCTAGGGATCCTACTATAATTTAAGGTATATATTTATGGGATATTGGAGTCTCTGCGAGGTTGGGATTGCATGCCATGTCGCGGACTTGCCAGCTGTTCGCATGAGTTTACAGCGTTTGTACTTTGGGCGTCCGGTTTAGGGTTTAGGGTACTTTGGGCGTCCGGTTTAAAATCATTTCACATGTATCCTGGTCTTGAGATATAGGGTGTAATTGCTTGTCGGTGTCGGAGCTTGGGAGCATTGGAACCTTGTTCATGCAGTCCGACTTGCCATAGAAGCACGGGTCACGGTTTCCGACTCAGCTTGAGGGCCTCAGCAACTTTTGGCAGTTTCGGGCGAGCCAGGGGCGGTGGCGTGGTTCCATGTCCGTTTAGTGATTCCGGCCTTATGTGCACGGAAAACCCCAAGTACACAACCTTTGGCCGTCATCCATTGATCCCAAGCCCGGCGTCCTATGTCCGAATGCAAAGCGGCGTTGAGAATGTCCCTGGATATTGCCAACATGACGGTACTGTGTAGATCACCCCCTTCCAACCCTGTGCTGATTATGCTGGACCGTAAATTAAACTGGGCCGCAGAAGCCAGAAGTCTGCTCATGGAGCCGTTACGGGGGACCTTTATAGTTTAGGGTTTAGGGTTTAGGGTTTAGGGACCTTTATAGTTTAACTTTATATATAGTACCCTCAAGGACTCTGCTCTAACTATCGATGCCTTGTACTAATCTTCCCAACCGGAATCCTCCCACGTTCTGCGGACGAGGGAAGCGGCACTTCTGCTCCTGGCGAACATGGAGGCATACGACGGTTGATGATATAAATCCTGCATTACCCATAAGAAGGACTCTACCATAATTCCCGCAGTCTAGGGTCCTTAAGGTAATGCAGGGTTTATATCTTCAACAGTACTTCATTTGTCATTAGGGTTTAGGGTTTGGCTTTACAGGATGCTATTGCTCGGAATGGTGGGTGTGACAGAAAGAATTTAAGAGTGGCACGCATGATGGACACGGTGTTAGGTACCTAAAACATCAGTGCTGATTAGAGTGATAATTTCATTGCCATAGTAATATCAGTAGTTAATAGTGACTGCCATTGCTTCCTGGAGCATAACGATTGCCACCATGACCTTGATCATAAGTTTTGCATTTGTACTACAGACCTGCCCATTACTTTTGCCGTCACCTTCACTGAACTAGTGTTTGATTCCGGCTGTCGGTCGAGATTTTAGGACTACTTCTCCGGAGTTGACACACCGACAACACTTCATGCTCTGATGTTCAGAATTGGGGTTCGATGTTTTTGGGTTTAGGGTTTAGGGGTTTAGGGGTTTGGGGGTTTAAGGGGTTTAGGGGTTTAGGGTTTAGAGTTTAGGGGGTCGTAGCCAAGCAGTGAAGCAGGAGGGAACCGCAAGAGACCGCTGCAAGCCGTGCGCCAAACTCTCCCGCTCAACACACGGCAATGCCTCAGCGCTAGTCACAAACCCCAAGTCTTAGCAGCAGATATACCCGCTCAGACCTCAGCTCCACGACCGGCACAGCTTACACACTTGTAAGGATGACGAAGCACCGTTTCGGGTTTGGGGAAGAGGCTTGCAAGCGGGAGGCTTGCATTGACGAGAGACTTGGGAAGATGCACGCGTATGGTTGCGTGTAAACGTGGGGGCACCGACGGCAGTCAATTACAGAGACAGTCACACGTTAATCTGAGTACGGATACTCAGAGATACCATTGATGGTGTTCATGGTGTCAACACTATGGACTTATAGAGTGGGCAAAGTAAGTACACAAGTACGCCGCCTTGTCTGAAAATCTAGCAGGCCATCGCCGTCCCTCCCGGTCAAATTTCCTTCAACACATGCATCGAAGCATGTGCAGAGGACGATGCTGCTGATCGTGAGGCTTGAGACCCA